CCTGTGGACGTCCTCTTCAGTAAGGTAAGGCGAGGGGCATTGGAGGGGTGGGTGTGGCTAGGTGGTTGAAGGGGGGGCAAAGGGGGCCTGTGTCTGGGTGAACACCACCCCCTTCTCTCCTTCAGACACCACAGGAGGACTATGTGGAGGCAGCGGTCAAGCAGGCCCTGCAGGTACACCTCTCCAGTGCTCCAGGGGACATCCTCATCTTCATGCCAGGCCAGGAAGACATTGAGGTGAGTTCAGCCAGGGGAGCCCTCCATTCCCCTCCCTTGCCCCTTTGCACAGGGCCTCACCTCTCCACCTCGCTCTCCTTGCAGGTCACCTCTGAGCAGATCGTGGAGCACCTGGAGGAGCTGACCAACGCCCCTGCCCTGGCTGTGCTGCCCATCTACTCACAGCTGCCCTCTGACCTGCAGGCCAAGATCTTCCAGAAGGTCAGGGAGCCAATGAGGGGGCTCCAGTCCCTTGGCACCAGGGGCTGTCAGGGAAAACTACCCTGAGATATAACACAGAACGTCCAAAAACAAAATGTTGAGCATCAGCTTATTAATGAGTAGAGCATGAGGGTGCTGTGTGATGTAGCTGTCAAGAATTCAGAGCTTAGGAGTCTAACATTCAGAGTCCAATCATAAAAATATCACAAAAGGTGTGTTTACAATAATAAGAAATAACTGTATTTCTTAATAGGTAAAGAACTGGGTCTGCGCAACTCTTAACACTAATCTCTACTAAGGTTTCAAACTTAAATCTCTACATCTCTCCTGAGACACAAGCAGAGAGAGATCTCAAAGCACACAGCGCATACTCTCCATACTAAAGTGGCAGAAGGCAGGTTCAGAAAGCTTGCAGTAGAAGAGCATTTTATTTTAAACAACCAATTGGAATGAGAGCAGAAACAGGAGAGAAGAAAAAAATACATTCCCAACTGTCATGGGGAAGGGAAACCTTAGTCAATACTAAGCTAACGAAAACGGCTCCTCATTGAGGTCTTGAGACTTGGACAGTGTGGGGTTGAATCCCAACAAGGGCAACCCCCCAACTGTTGCTTTCACTGTGGGAATTTGGCAAGGCGGGCCAGGGAACCATCGGGGCTGGGCAATCAAGTATGCAGTAAAGTTTTTTGATTCTGACAGAGGCTAGATGATCATTTGTTGGGAGGGCGTTGATTGGGTGCGTCTTCCTGGCAGAAGAGGCTTGGATTGCGTGATCCCTGGGGTCCCTTCCAACTCTAAGATGGCTATCTAAGGGGTTCCAGAGGTGGGGCTAATTGGGACTTGGGGAGAAGAACAGTTGTGCCATTCTAAGGATGGCTCACCTGCATTGGGACAATATTGGGGGAGTATATATATATTGGGGGGGCTCACTGTAGGGCCACATGGTGGCGCAACGGGTTAAACCATGAGCTTCTGAACTTGCTGATTGAAAGGTCAGTGATTCGAATTTGGGGAGCGGGATGAGCTCCCACTGTTAGCCCCAGCTTCTGCCAACCTAGCAGTTCGAAAACATGCAAATTTGAGTAAATCAATAGGTACCGCTTTGGAGGGAAGGTAACAGCACTGCATACAGTCATGTCAGCCACATGACCCTGGAGGTGTCTATGGACAACGCTGGCTCTTCAGCTTAGAAATGGAGATGAGCACCACCCCCCCAGAGTTGGGCATGACCAGACCTAATGTCTAGGGGAAACCTTTACATTTACTATATGGTGAGTGGGAGAGACCAAGTCCTTGACTGGAACCTCCATTCCTGGCAGGCCCCTGACGGAGTCCGAAAGTGCATCGTGGCCACCAACATTGCAGAGACCTCTCTGACGGTGGATGGGATCATGTTTGTGATTGACTCGGGCTACTGCAAGCTGAAGGTGAGTCTGGGGCACCAGTAGAGGGAGGGGAGCGAGATCTTGGGGGCCTGGTGGGAGGCTGCTGACCCTACCACTCTTCCCACCTTTTCCCTTCCAGGTCTTCAACCCACGGATCGGCATGGACGCGCTCCAGATCTACCCCATCAGCCAGGCCAATGCCAACCAGCGCTCCGGCCGTGCCGGGAGGACGGGGCCAGGCCAGTGTTTCAGGTGGGCTGAGACACTGAGTGGGGTCCCTTGTGGGGGTGGGCACTGAGGCCCCCTGCTGAGCCCCTTTTCCCATCTTCCATCAGACTCTACACGCAGAGCGCCTACAAGAACGAGCTGCTGACCACCACAGTCCCTGAAATCCAGCGCACGAACCTGGCCAACGTGGTGCTGCTGCTGAAGTCCCTGGGGGTCCAGGACTTGCTCCAGTTCCACTTCATGGACCCCCCTCCAGAAGACAACATGCTCAACTCCATGTACCAGTTGTGGATCCTGGGTGCACTGGACAACACAGGTACAGAGGGGGCTCCATAGTCTGGGAGGGGCTTGAGGAGCATGCCTTCTGACGGCCATTGCCTTCTCTGCAGGAGGACTGACCTCCACGGGGCGCCTGATGGTGGAGTTCCCCCTGGATCCGGCCCTCTCTAAGATGCTCATTGTCTCCTGCGACATGGGATGCAGCTCTGAGATCCTGCTGATTGTCTCCATGCTCTCTGTGCCGGCCATCTTCTACCGGCCAAAGGTGCGTCGCAGCAGAGAGTGAAGTGGGGGGGGGGGGCATCAGGGTCCCTGTTGCTGCCTGGCTTTGTTCTTCACGGCCTCCTGCCACGTGTCCTTTCCTTCAGGGCCGGGAGGAAGAGAGCGACCAGGTGCGGGAGAAGTTTGCTGTTCCGGAGAGCGACCACCTGACCTACCTGAACGTCTACCTACAGTGGAAGAGCAACAGCTACTCCACGCTCTGGTGCAGTGAGCACTTCATCCATGCCAAGGCCATGCGCAAGGTGCGGTCCGGGCCCAGGAGCGCGTGGGGGGGCGGAGGGAGGCCAAGATGGATCCCATTTGCAACTACTCTGGTGGACTTTTTCCAGGTGCGTGAGGTGCGGGCACAGCTGAAGGACATCATGGTGCAGCAGCGCATGAGCCTGGCCTCCTGCGGCACCGACTGGGACATCGTCCGCAAATGCATCTGTGCGGCTTACTTCCACCAGGCCGCCAAACTGAAGGTGATTCTGGGAAGGGCAGGGAAGTTGGGGGGCTTCTGTGGGGTTCTCCCCTGCACCAAAGGCCTCTCTATGGGAAAGAGGCCCCTTCCACTGCTTCAGAGAATCTACGTTGTGGGAGTTGGTGCCAGCGCCCTGCCTTTGTGTCTCCCTGGCAGGCAGTGAACTAACAGCTTCCTTCTTTGCTTTCTTCTGGCTGCAGGGCATTGGGGAATATGTCAACATTCGCACCGGGATGCCCTGCCACCTGCACCCCACCAGCTCCCTGTTCGGCATGGGCTACACGCCAGACTACATTGTCTACCATGAGCTTGTGATGACCACCAAGGTCAGTGAGGGGATGCAGGCATTGCAGGGGGCATTCCCCCTCCTACCTTGTCAGCCCTAGAGGATCCAGAATGAGGCACAGGCCACACAGGGTACTCCTTAACTCTGCCCCCACCCCTCCTTTGCAGGAGTATATGCAGTGCGTCACAGCTGTGGATGGTGAGTGGCTGGCCGAATTGGGGCCCATGTTCTACAGCATCAAACATGCCGGCAAGTCACGCCAGGTAAGGGGGCTGAGCTGGTAGGATGGCACTAGGCCTATTATTATTATTATTATTATTATTATTATTATTATTATTATTATTAGAAACACAATAAGATGAGTCCACAGCAGACAAGATCACTCTGCTGGCTGTTGTATTGAATCATGTTTCGGACACTTCCCAAGTGTCTAGGACTGTGTGATGTAGGGGCAAATAATGCATGCAGATCCCAGTAAGGTGGCCTCCTGCAGCTGGTAATTTTATCAGTGCCGATTGTGTTTAAGTGCAGGCCAAGGTCTTTAGGCACTGCACCCAGTGTGCCCATCACCACTGGAACCACCTTGACTGGCTTGTGACAGAGTCTTTGCAGTTTGATCTTTAAATCCTCATATTGTGTCAGCTTTTCCAGTTGTTGCTCTTCAGTCCTGCRGTCGCCTGGGATTGCAACATCGACAATCCATACTTCGTTTTTTAACACGATTGTGAGGTCAGGAGTATTGTGCTCCAAAACTCTGTCTGTCTGAATTCGGAAGTCCCAGAGTAGTTTGACGTATTCATTTTCTGTAACGTTTTTCTGGCTTGTGATCCCACCAGTTGTTGTTATTATTATTATTAGGCCCCATTTGTTGGGGWTGTTCCACTGAAACATTCATGCACATGCTGTGATGGTCTCTATGTGGAGCCCACAGGAAAGAKCTTTCCTTGGCTTGTGCTCTCTGGCACAGGACATACCCTGGCTGAGGCCAAGTGCTTCCCACTACTAGAATGGCTCTGGCCTGTTGGGGGGTGGTTGCTGATGTGAAGGAGTCTCAGGGGAACAGATCATCCTGACCACCTGCTTTGCTGCAGGAGAGTCGCCGCAGAGCCAAGGAGGAGGCGTCCGCCATGGAGGAGGAGATGGCACTAGCGGAGGAGCAGCTGCGTGCCCGGCGGGAGGAGCAGGAGCGGCGCAACCCCGTCAGCAGTGTCAGGTAGGAGGAGGCGGCCTCTGGCGGTCAGTGGGCCTTGCCTCCGCAGAGCGGCTGGCTCACCTGTCCCTCTCCTCTCCCTCCTTGCAGGTCCACCAAGATCTATACTCCGGGGCGGAAGGAGCAGGGGCAGCCAGCCACGCCACGCCACACACCGGCCCGCTTTGGCCTCTAGCCACACAGCGCCAGACAGGGCCCACCTTGGACAGACACTGAGAAGTAATGTTGTTGTTTCTATAAATGTTGCTGCTTCCTGGCCAGGCTCTGAGCGGTGCGTCTATTTGCCCTCCTGCAGCGGAGCGGAGCAGAGGGGCCTCCCTTTCCTGTGGGAAATGCAAATGTCCACCTCCCTCCTCCTCCTAGAGAGCCATCCCGTCTCGCCACAGCCTTCACCCTCCCAACCCCCAAAGGATGCAGGACGTGGCAGGCATCCCTTCTTGGGGGAGGTAGCGGAGCTGCCTCCGTTTATTGGCTTAGTATTTGCACAAGTCTCTTCCCTTCTTCTCTGGCAAAGGCACATGATTGCAGTGGGGATGCAGCTCCCGGAGCCGGGCACCACAGGACCAGAAGGGGTTGTTTGGAGGGTAAAGGTCGAGGAGAGCGGGACCAGCCACCCGAGGGGAGGGGGGGGGGCTAAGGGCGGTTCCACTCTGTGGCCAGCACTTGGCTCTTCCTCTGAAGCAACCGGGGGGAGCTGCAAGGGAAAAGAACAAAGGGGGAGTCACTCAGCCGCACTCCGCTTGCAGGAGCCCCTGTGTTTGTGGGACAGAGGCATTGAAAATAAAGCAAAGCAACGTCAGATGGCGTTCTCTACATTATGAATACAGTGTGTGAGTTCCAGTGGCATTTCCACTCAGAACAAAAGGAGAAGAAGCCCTTCGCGGCAAGGCACCTGCCTGGGAACGTGGGGGTGGCAGGGATTTGAATGATATGTCCTGGGAAGAGGGACAGACAGCATGTGCCAGGCGGGGCAGGAGCATGAGGCTTGGCTGTTGGGAACAGGATGTGGCCTGTGGTGAAGCAGGCCTTACCTCAAGGGGCTTTTGCAGGCAGGCATTGCCAACAGGAGGGCTCACCTGCCCTAGGGCCCTTTTGGGCTGTGGCTGGAGTAAGCGCCAAGCCTGGACATCAACTGTCTCTCCGTCTCCTTTGAGTCTATCCCTGGAACCTCCTCCCGACCCCCGTTTCACAAGGTCTGTGGTGACCCTCTACTCCAAGGAACCCATGGCGCCACAGGGGAAGGGAGGGCATCCAGGCCAGGGTCATCCTGTGGTGCCGGGGTTCTGTCACAAAGGCACTCACCTCTCCACTGGGAACGTAGAGCACTGCCATGCTTTGGATGAGTCCAGGTCTTGATTGCGGAGAGCCTGGAGGGAGGGAGTGCAGCTGCGTAACGTAGCTCAGTTGTGCCCATGATCATGCACAGCCACCACCGTTCCCCTGGGCTCCCCCAAACTTTTCAAGCTTCGGGGGCAGAGGTTGGTCCGGCAGGGGAGTGCAGAGCTTCTTGGGCCACTGGGACTCTGGTGCTCACCTTGAGGCGCTCACACTCAATGCGCCGGTCGTCCGCTTCGTTCTTCAGCCGCTTGTTCTCTTGCTCCAGCCTCTGCGTCAGTCCCTGAAGGTGGCTGCAGAGAAAAGCCATCCATGGTCAGCAGAGCAGAGGGGCCAGAGGCAGTGGGAGGCCACAGTACTCCCTGCTTGCAGGGCGTTTAGAAGAATGATGGGCAAGAGGTGCCATTTGTCCCTTGTCTATTTGCTGTTTTTAGTTGCTCTAGGGCTATAGTTGCCTTGTCATTGGAGTGCAAAAAAATAACAGGAGCACAGGCATCAAGAGAACCAGGCTAGCCATATATTTTGTCAAATTCAAACTCCACAAATACCTTAAGGATGATGGCATGAGCATCAGGCAGCACCTGGTTTGGGGGGGGGGGGGGGGACACCACTTTCCTTAAGAGCACAGAGGTGCAAGCCCCCCCCCCCTTTTTTCTGGAGGGCAGAGGGATAACACCTCATGGAAGGGCTGCAGCCCTGCCCCCAATCCCTGGCCCCCACTCACTCTCTTTCGCCTGTCAGTTGAGCCATGTGCTTGATCTGGTCCCGGATCTTGCAGCCCAGCTTCTCATTGACCTTTCTGCAAGAGAGCTTTGGGTGAGAAGCTTAACCCATTGACCTATGGGGCAGCCCACATCCACACCCCCTCCCAACCCCCTCCCCAGGCCAGCAGCAGCAGCTCCCTCACTTCTGCTCCGTCACCCACTGGCTGACGTTGGCCATCACCAGCTCGCTCTCGTGCTGCAGGCGCCGGCTGTCGGATTGGGCGGCCTCCAGGGAGGTCTGCAGGGATTCCACCTGTTTTGGGGGAGAGGGATGCACAGGTGGGCAATGGCAGTCCCTCTTTAGCTTGGCAAGGGCCCTTGGGGAGCCCAGGTGGGCCAGACTCTGGATGTTTGCCAGGCCTAAATCTCAAGAGTGTACACAAGGAGGGCTGGCCCCTTTGTCCTCCTATCTGGCTAAGAGGAGCCTTCTGGGACTGGGAGGCGGGCCGAGGAGGGCATTTCCTTCTACAGAAGGAGCACTGCAAGATCCTTTTGAACTCCTGGACCCTCAGCGCTGAATCTGGAAGGCAGATAAGACAGAAGCCAGTGCTGCCGAGAAGACACCTACCTCCCGGCTGGAGACCACAAACTTCTGCCGGAGAAGGTTGGCCTCATTCTGCAGCTCGTCCCTCTGCCAAGGAAGATGCCATGTGAGGACAGAAGAGAAGGGGTGAGCCCAGGAGGGCCAGGGCTCGGCCCCTTCCCCAACTCCCACCCCCTGGAAGGAGGCATCCTGCAGCACCTCCTCGGCCATGCAGCGCCATCGCTCCTCGGCGGCCGCCAGCTCCACCTTGGCGACCACCAGCTCCTCATCCTTCTCCTCCAGAGTCAACTGGGCCGCACGGTTCTCCTTCTGCCAGCGCTGCGCCTGGAGGCCCAGGTTCTGCAGCCTCTCTTCCGCACGACAGACCTGCCAGGGGAGGGGCAGCGGCCGAGTGAGCCGGGCAGGAGGAGGGGGATAGGGTCAGGGTGGCCACCTCCGCTGCCTTCTCTGGAGACTTGCCTCTTGCTGCCGCTCTCTCTGACTGGCCAACAGCTCTTGCAGCTGCGCCTGAGTGCGGGCAATCTGCTCCTCCAAGTGGACCGTTTTGTGCTGAGCCAGTTGCAGCTCTGCCTGTAGACAGGAGGCCTCCCGCGTTTTCTGTTCTAGCTGCCAGGAAAGGAGAGTGAGTTGTCTTCCCTGGGGACTAGAAGCAACAGTCCCAGGACAGTGGTCAAGGCTGGACCTCCACCTCACCTTCTCCATGGCCTCCCTCTGGCTGGACTGGCAGCAGGCTGCTTGGGCTTTGAGCTCCTGGGCTGCCAGTAGGGCTTGGTGGCTCTTCTTCTCCTGCTCCTGGAGGGCACGGAACTCCGAGCGCAGCTGAGCAAGGGCTGCCTCTTGACGCAACGCCTGGGAGTGGATATGGGCATGGTTTGGGGGACACGCAGAAGAGGGGAGGCCTCTCTGCCTGTTCCATTGGCCCAGCTCACCTCAGTCGCCTGCTGCTGCAGCTCTAGTTGCGCCGCATCCAGGCTGCTGTGGGCCGCCTCCAGTTCTGCAACCTGGTGCTTGAGCTTCTCCCGCAGGGCTTGTCCCTCGGCCTCCCGCTCGGCCACACACAGCTGCAACCCCTGGTTCCTCCACTCGGCCTCCTGCAGCTGGGGTCAAGTGGGAGGGCACATCTAGAGTTACCAAGGGGTTCAGAGCCTGGTGGCAGCGATGGCACCCACTCCACTTGCCTTCCCTCCCTCACCTGACACTGGCTGCTCTGGAGCCGGCGCTGCAGGTCCTTGTGGCCCTGGGCCAGCTGCCCCTCCCGCTCCTGGGCCTCCTGCAGCCTCCTCTTTAGCTCCTCTTCCCGCTGCTTCTGCTGCCCGAGCTCTGCCCGCAGCCCTTCCAGCACTGACTCGTGCCCCTGGACCTGCAAGGAAAGGCCCTTCACCTTCAGCCAAGGGGTTTCCCCTCCCATTGTAACTCTCCCTCCTCCCCACAGCCAGGTCTAGCCTGCTACCTGCTGCTGGAGGCTCCTCAGTCCCTCGCGACTGCCCTCCAGCTTCCGCTCCATCCTAGCTGCGGCCTGGCGTTGCTGCTGGGCCTCCTCGGCCACTGCCTGGTGCTGCCGCCGCGACTGGCTCAACTCCTCCGTCAGGCACTCTATGAGGTCGCTGGCAAACGAAGAGGCCGCAAGGAGAGAACTTTGAGGTCATCTTGCAAACAAAGCAGCCTGTGCTCTGCCCACCCCTTCCCTGGAGGAGCCTGGATGGCCACCAGCCCCAAGGCCCACCCTGCTACCTCTTCTGTTGGAGCTCGTCTTCAGCTCTGGCCGCCCGTTCACTCAGGGCCTGGACCTCAGCCTCCAGCCGGTGGGTGGCCTTTGAGTGGAGCACTACCTCAGCAACGCGCTCCTCCAGGTGTTCCTGGGCCGTGCGGAGGCTGTTCTGAGCCAGCAGCAGCTGCTCCTCCTGCCGGACTAGTTCCTGGGCTGGGAATACGGGTGTCCTCAGGGTTGGCCCAGGGCTGGGAGGAAAAGGCCTTGGAGGGGGAGGGTGAAGACCACCTTCCCTCTCTCTGTGGGCCTTGGGCTTGGAAGCCCAGTGCACCCCCACCCCAGGGCCCGCCCCTTGCCTACCGGCCTGCTGGTGCCGCTCCTGGCTCTCTCGCAGGTTCTGCCTCAGCACCTTGGCCTCGGAGCGCAAAGTGGCCCTCTCAGCCTGGCTCTCCTCCAATGCCTTGTGAGCCTCCTTCAGGCCGGCCTCCAGGCAATGGGCATGGGCACGCTGCTGCTCTAACTCCTGGCCTTTCTCCTGCAGGGCACTCCGGGCACACAGCATTTCCACCTGGGACTTGTGCAGCACTTCGTCCCGCTTCCGGACAGCCTGGAGAGGAGGGCAGGGAGAGGGGCCAAGAGCCTTTTATCCAGCCTGCAGAAGCGGAGGGAGGGGAGGGGGGCTTTTTCTCCTTGCCTCACTGGGCACTCACCTGCTCCTGCTGGGCACATGCCTGGCGGCTCTGCCTGAGCTCCAGCTCCAACTGCTGGGCCTGCTGCTGAAGCGCGCCTGCCTCAGTCTCCCGCCTCTCCCGCTCTGCGGCCACCTCCAGCCGCAGGCTCTGTGCCGTCAACTCCAGGCGCTCTAGGCCTGCAAGAACCATGCCGCTCATAGCCTGTTCTCTGTGCAAAGGGGAGGGGGCTCCCAAGGCGGGGAGGGGTTTGCCAGATTCCTCATGGCACTCTACCTTTTAAGGCGGTGCCTTTCTGCTCCACAACTCGCACCAGCTCCAGCTTCAGGTCCTGCACCAACTCCCTGTACTCCTTGGCCTCCTGCTGATGCTCTGCGCTCTCCTCTATGGCTTCCTGCAGCCTCTGGGCCAGCAAAGAGAGCTCCCATCAGCACCCCACATGCCCTTTGGGCACCCCAATGCCTGAGCAGCATAAGGGCCCAATTGGCCACTCACCTGCTGGAGAGCCTCTGTGTGGAGCACTTGGTTTTCATAGCTGCTGTTGGAACAGCTGTGGGTTGTCTTGTATGAGGCAAAGTCCCTCTGCAGAGCTGCCAGTGCCCCTTCTTGACCCAGGAGCTGAGGAGCAAGTGCCAGTCAGAAAAGGAGAGAAGGAAGAAGGGGAGCAACTTCCCCATCGGGCTCCTCAGGGCCAGCACCTACCTTAGTCCGGCTGTCTGTCAGCTCCTGCTGCAGCCCCCGGATGCTCTCCTCGAATTGGCTGGCTACTTGCCGGCTCTGGCTCAGCTCCCGTGCCAGCTGCTCCATGGCCTCCTCGGTGCAACTGGCTTGGTGGCACTTGCCCTCCAGCTCCTCTTGCCAGACAAGTCGCTCGGCCTGAAGCTTCAGGATGGCCTCCTCCCTGGCTTTGGCCTGCATCAGAGAAGGAAGGGGGCTCAATGGAGGGAGAACAGGCCCCTAGGAGATGCTAGGTCTCCTGCCTACTTGTCCACCTGTCTTGCCCACTTGGAGCCCACCTGGTTGGCCAGCTCCTCCTCCAGGCGCTGCAGGCGGCTCTCCAGCTCCCCAGTTCTGGCTAGCGAGGCCTGGTACTTCTGTTTGTAGATGGCCAGGCTCTCCTCCAGAAGGCTGGTGCTGCCTTCAGCTTGGGCCAGGCGCTCCTGCAGGTGCCGCTCACGCTGGTGCTGCTGGGCCAGGGTCAGCTCCTGCTTCTGGGCCACCTCCTCATAGTAGACAAGCTGCAGGGAGCCAAAGGCAAGGAGTCAGGGTTTGGAGGGAAGGCCAGGCTGATAGCCACCCACTCAATCCCCATGGTCGGGGAGAGGACGCACCTTCTCCTTGAGGGCTTGGCACTGCTGTAGGAGGTGGTCCAGGTCCAGGCTCTGCTCCTCCATGGTGCTCTCACGGGCCTGCAGCTTGCTCAGGTTCTCCTGGTTGCGGCCCTTGCAGATGTCCAGCTCCTCCTGCAGGTGCTGCAGCTTAACCTGCAGCTCTTCCATGCCAGCCGAGTGGGTCGTTGCGCTTGGGCTCTGCAGCAAAGCCAGCCCAGACATGAGGTCGGGGGGCCACAGGGGAGCGCGCTTTGGGAGGCAGCCTGCTTGGATCAGCATGGACTGCCCTCCTGTTGGATATCTGGGGGATCCTCTCAGGGACCCAAAGAAGCCCCTTGTGGGACACCCTGGCAGAGCGCTGGGAATGGGGGAAGGAGGAGCTCTAACCTGCCTGAGGAAGGTTTTCTGCTCGTGCTGGAGCTGCAGGATGAGGCCTGTCTGCTCCACCATCCTTGGTTCTTGTTGCTTGTCCTGCAAGTGATGGAGCCTTGTTTGGAGGGTGGTCACTTCAGGCTCCTTCCCAGCACTCTGCCAGAAAAGGGGCACTTTGTCAGGCTGCAGGGAAGTCCAGCCCACGCCCTGCCTTCCAGGGCAGCATCCCCCCACCTCAGTGCCACTGTCACCCACGGCGCCTGGCTCTCCTCGCCCTGTTTGGGCAGCTCGCTTCCTCACCCTGACCTCAGTGTGCCTCCCCTCATGTGCTCTGTGGGCAAGCAGTCCATTTCCAGAGACCCACAGGAAGGAATCACCCACCTAGTCTGGCAAAGGCCCATTCAGAGGCCTGATGGGTGGAGGAGGAGGCAGCAGAGGAGGAGGGGTCGGTGGCAGAGCGGCCGTCGCTGTGGGAGTTCCAGAGATAATGCCTGGAACCCGGAAGCCCTCAGCCACTGCATTCTCTCTCTCTCTCTCTCTTGAGGAGGGGGAGGTAAGAACATGACTCAGCCCTCCTCCCCCAAATGCTGAGCAAAGGGATGCTGGGGGGACCACTCTGGCCCACTTACTACCTGGAAAGCCACCATCCCCGCCTAGGCACTGGAGCCGAGACTGGACTTCCAGTACCAGGAGAGCTGCTCCTTTGCCTGCCCCTCGCTTCCAAGGCCAGAGAAGAAAGCCCCTCCAGAAAGGCAGAGAGGGTGGCCAGGGGCCCTTTGCCTCTTCCCAGTGAGGAGAGGAGAAAGGCAGGAGCAGATGGAGCCATACCTGGATTGGCAAGGGGGCAGCTAGGCACAGAGAGGAGATACTGGGGGCAGGGATGCTGGGGACTGGGGGGTGGCTGGTGCCTGCTCACCTGTTGCTCCTGGGCCTCTTGCAGGGACTCCTTCAGGGCACCCAGCTCCTCCTGGGGCCCTTGGGATGTGTGCTGCTCTGTGCTCAGGATCCCCTTCTGCTGGCCCACCTGGAGGGACAGGAGAAACGGAAGGCTGCCTGGGCCTTGGCCCACCTCCACCCAGAAGTGCTCCCCTTTCTCCCAGCAGCCCCAAGTCCCAGCTGCCTTGTTCTCCATCACAAAGGGTAGCTGGGACTGGGTGCTCCCTCTAAGCTTATGAATCCCCTGAGGAGTGCCACCTTCTCCCCCCCCCCCCCACCACACTCCCTGAGTTGCTGCTGCACCCATACCTGCAGCTCCTTCAAGTGCCCCTTCCTCTGCAGTGCTTTAATCCCACCTTCTTGGGTGCAGAAGAACCTGGAGCTCACTTCCTCCTGAGAGGCAGCTAAAGTGTCCTGGAGCTCCTGGGTGGTGTCCTCATGCTGCTGCACCTGGGGGAGGAAGAGGCTCTACTGTGAGACCTGCCTCTGGATGGACACTCCTGGTGGCCCACAGCTGGCACCCTTGTGGGGTCCACAGCGACCTCCTTTCACAGGTTGCTAACCTAGGGGTTTCTATGCCTCCCAGGACCCTCTGTTCCCTGGTCCCATGCGCACCTCATCCTGCGCCCTGCACAGGTCTTCCAGCTGCTCTGGGGCCTGGCTCTCCAACTGACCACAGTCCACCTCCTTCTCAGCCGCACTCTGCTCCAAGACTCCATGGTTCTCTCGGAGGCTCTGTAGAGCCTGGTTGCTCTCGGCCGCCTGGAGGCAAGAGGAAGGGGCTGCTGGGGCTGGGCCTTGGGGGCCCTTTCGACTTTATGGCTCCATTCCTGGGCCTAGAGAGGTGGGGGAGTGGCAAAAAAGGCTTTTTTTGGGGGGGGGGTCTTGGGGAATCCTCCCCCAACTCCTCTCCTTGTCATCTGCCTTCCCAGAAACAGAGGGAGGTCTTCACCCCTCTCTCCACACCTGCCATTGCTGAGGACCAACAGGAATCAGAGCACCCCGTCTATAAGGGCCTAGTTGGGGATGACGCCAKATCTCTTGGTGGAGGATGTGTTGGGAGTTACCTTCCTGAAGGCGGGCTAGACGACCCCCAAGACCTCTGTTGGGGCTGGCCTGGAATGCAGGGTAGCCCCTCTCTGAAGGAACCCCTTYCCCTCAGATACAGCAGACATTTTGGGCGGGGGCGGGCAGAGGAATGGCCCTCTTTGGCCCAGAACCGGCCCGGAGTGCCGTGTGCCTGGTTTCTCCAAAGCGGTCCAGGTGAAGGCAGGTCCCCTTGCAGGTGAGACCCCTCTATGACCGCCAAAGATCTGCCAAGCGCCAGCCCTCACTCGGCACCTGCCGCACCAGCCCAGGCCCCCCTCATTAACACCCGCCTGCAACATCATTAAGATGTTTCCTGGAAAATTAATTGAGAGACCCATTAAAAACAAATTAAGAAACATGTGTTGCAGAGTGCCTGCTCGGAACTCGTAAATCATGGCTCCAGGCTTCTGTGCAGACAATGAATGCCAGCCAATCTGTTCCATCCTGGAGACGAGATTAGATTAGGGGCATCTGTGGAGCAGGACTTGACACAGAATGGAAACGGGGAAAGCTTTCCATCAAAGGAGCTGGAAATTCCAGATAGGGAAGGAGGGGGGGGGAGGGGGGGGAAGGGGCTCCATTGCTACCTCCAAACACATCATCCCGAGAAAGGCCTCCTCCCTCCTTTGCAGTCCCAGAAGAGAACACCAGGGGTCGCCCTCCACTTCTGCATTAGCATCCTTCCAAAATGGCTCCCTTTGGAACATTCACCTTGATTATTATCAGACTGACTCCTCCAGCAGCAGCCTGTCTGGCAGACAATGAGAAGGAGGGAGGCACCAGCACCCCCTCCCTGAGCCCTCAGAAATGCCTTTGTTCTGTCAGGGACCCCCCTTCCTCTTAGAGGGAGGCATTGCCGCATGAGTGCTGCCTTCCTTAAGGCGAAGCAGAGGGAGGGAGGGGTTGGTGGGCCAGAAAGTGGCCTGTGGGGCTCCACTGGCTGACCAGAGCCCACCAAAGACTCTCCCCACTGGTATTCTGGTAGAAAGGGGCCCGGCGGCAACCAAGGTCCACAGCTGGGAAAAACAAAGGCATGGGGCAGCACAAGGGCAGAGGGCAGCAGTGGGGCCCTTGTGTCCAGCCCTCCTGCAACCAACCTCCCACTGGCCTACACCGGTGAGGACTGGGACCTGGCGCATGGCCTTTGCAGAACCCAAAAACAGAGGTGGCGTTCCCCCGGCTCCCCGCCCCCCCTCCTTTCGTTGTATTTATCCCCGGAGCACCTCCTCCAGGGCCAGCCTGTACTTGCTCCTCAGGGCGGCTGCCTCCATTTCGGCCACCACCAGCTGTGCCATCGCTCCTTGGGCCTGGAAGGCAAAGAAAGGGCTGTTTTAGAGAAAGGGCCAGAAAGAGGGGGAGGCGGGAGGAGCAGAGCATCCCTCCAAGTCCCAAGGATGCCCCCCCCCAATCCCCATCCCCAGTCTCCTCCCTCTGTCCAGAAATAAGAACAGAGGATGCCCAAGGCCCTGGGGTTTGCTGTGTGCAGGGGAGAACGATATTAACTCTGTTCTGCAATGGATGGGCCCCCGATCAGGGACCCCCTCCAGGCCCAAACACTTTTTGAAGGGACCTAAGAATGTATAGAGTGTCCTGGCTCCTGACCAAGACCAAAAAGTCTTTGGAGGCTGGCACTGTGTGAGTAGGGAAGAGAAGAGCAAGTCTGGTGGAGGAGGAAGAGGAAGAGGAGGAAAAGGAAGCGTAGTCCCCGAAGAGAAGCTCCTTGAGCCTTAAGGGGTGGCAAAGAAAGGCTGGCTGGCACCTGGAACTCACAATAAAAGAGCGCCTCCCTCAGAATGCCAAAACCCCACTCCAGGCAGCGGTGTCCTCCCTCCCTCCCCACAGGCCCTGTGCCCCCTTCCCTCCAGGGTCTGCCCTCATTTACCAGAAGGTGGGCATCGTGCAGTTCCTCCAAGAGCACCTTCGCCCAGGCTCTGGATCGTTCCCCATGCAGCACGCCCAGCCACTCTCCTCCTTCTCTTCCACTTAGAGGGCCTGCCTTCCCTTCCACACAGGAGCCCCATGTCTGGCTGGGCACTTGATCTTCCAGGGCCTAGGAGAACACAAAGGATGTGCCTCCAAGAGGCTGTCTACACCAGTTGGGGCGAGAAAAGAGAAGGCTAAGGCACCCCTCCAGGTGCCCCTTGCCCACAGCTCACCTGCAGTCTTTGCCCCCACCTGGGGCCCCTCCATGCCTCATTCAGGCCTCCTGCCAAAGAGGTCAGTTGTCTGCAAGGCTCCTCCTTGAACTATCAAAGGGAAGAGAGGCAGGGAGAGGTTGGGGCAGGACTGTGTTCCCATCGGCAATGAGAGGTACGCCCAGGCCTTGCCTGATGGACCCCTCCCCACCCATGTTTTTTTTAGGTAGGGACACACAAGAGGCTGGCCATTGCCACATTCTCAGCACCCAGGTGGCACTGTGGAGGGAGCGCAAGGGGCCTCTGCCCACCTGAGCCCTGATAGGAGAGGGCCCTCTGCCCAGACCCTTCTTTAGCTGGAGAGCAGAGAGCGCATGCCCTGGAGCACAGCAGCCACGCACCCCTCCTTTGCTGCACGCATGCGCACCGCTGCCTTGACGAAGGGGCAGGAGGGGCATAAAGGTTGCCTGGTTGCAGCCAGAGCAGACCCAAAGCAGAAGCAGCCCTTGTGGGCCAATGCCTGGCCCACCCCTCGCCCCAAGTGCCCACCTTGCCAGCCGAAGATGGGCCAAAGAGTCCCATGGAGACCATTGCTCCCCACAGAGACCCAGGCCTGAAGGAGGAGCCACAGCCAACGAGGGAGGAATGGCTGGGTGTCTCTTCTCTCAGCACAGCTTCTCCTGCTGTGGCCGGGATGAAGGTGCCCAAGAGGGGACGAAAAGTGCCAGCAGCCGCAGCCAGGCACAAGAGAGCCACCCCACTGACAGTCCTCTCCCAAGAAGAGCCTCCCGGAGGAAGTGCCAAGGGCACACAATCAATACACAGAGCATCTGCTCTGCTTGGACCCTGAGCACAAGGGTGGCCCTTCCTCCTCCAACGGCTGCCCATCTGACCTGTGCCCCCCAATTCTTCTCACCTGACCCTCCATACCTGCAAAAAGGGCTCCTCTTCTTGGTGTGTCTTGCCAGCCTCCGGATCACCTGCCGGCTGCCGGCTCTGATGCCGCTTCTGGTCCAGCACTGCCTGCACCTCCCTCCGCCGGGTCCCAGGCTCCCAGGTCCTCTGTTCCCGAACAGCCAGCTATCGACCCACCCAAGGAAAGAAAGGAGGGAAATGAAGAAAGGGAGAAAATGGCGATTGGAGGGGGAGGGGGGAAATCAATGGCTAGTAGAGGGATTCGGCAGATTGCCAGCAGCTGCTGCTCCCTCAGTGAAGGGCTGGCGATGAAGGGCAGGCAGTGTGGTAGATGGGTGTGGAAGGAGTGAGGGTGTCCATGCCAGGGCAAAGGGCATGCCAGGGGTTCTGCCAAGGCCTGGCCTTCTGTGAGGAGGATGCCTCCACCCCATGCTGCCCAACCAAGAGCAGGACCTGCTGGGTTTGTGCCGCCAGCTGCTCCAAGGGGGAGAGGGAGCAAGAGAGCAAAGGGATGTCAGCCACTAAAGGGGGGGGGGGGGGAGAGGGGGGGGGGGGGGGAGAGCAGGCGGGACTTGGATATTGATCTGCCAAGGCTGGAGAGTGCCGCCTGCTGCAGCCTCAGAGGCCAAGGGAGGGGGCTGGCTTGGCTACCCTGGCAAGGTCAAGAGGAACAGCTCGGCCTCTGGGGCACGTCTCCAGTGTCACCTCCGGAACAAGCGGCAGAAGCCGGAGAAGCCACAGGAGGAAGAAGACGACGCCACAGGAGGAAGGGGTGCCCCATCACCCACAGCAGCCCAGGGAAAGTCCAAGGCCTTCACCCAAGTCTCGGAGTCCTCTTGGGGCCTACTTGGGCTGTGTCTCTCCCTCCACCTTGGAACCGGATCGGAGGAAAGGATGCCAGGTGAGGCCAAAAGGTCCATGGGGAAGGACTCCCTGCCCTAGAAGTGGAAGGTACCATCCCAGGATGGTTTGTAAAAGGGGCCTAGGAGGGGAAAGGAGATCTGAAAGAGCCATGTGCCACAAGGCCCCAGCTGTGGGCTTCCCAGGGGACTCTTGAGGGACCCTACCCTCGTATCAAGCACCCCACAGCATTTCCTATGCTGGGTTGTTTTGGGCTGTATGGCCATGATCCAGAAGCATTCTCTCCTGATGTTTCGTCTGCATCTGTGGTGGGCATCCTCAGAGGTAGTGACGTCCTATGTTGCAACCTATCTAGTGATGGAGGAGAGGGCAGGAAATGCCACTTGGCTGGAGATCCCTCCCCGCTTGCCTGCCCCCTTGGCTAGAACCCCTTTCTCTGCTGCCAAAAGGAAGTACTGTAAATGAGATTTAAGAAGCTTGAACCTGTTTCATGGCTAAAAACACAGCAAAAGATCTTAAATATTTATTTTAAATTATTATTTCCTTCAGGGTGAAACTGCCACTTCCCTTCACAGACACTTAATGCTGCCCTTTCTCTTTCAAGCCCTTGCCATTCATAGATACAAGGGCTGGACACCGAGGGGCTTCAGAGGTAAAGAATTAAAATAATGGAGGGGCCTCTGAAGCAGCAGCAGCAGCAGCAGCAGCAGAAAGAACAGCCGCTGCTCCCTCAGGCCTGACTGCCACTTCATTGCTGCTTAGTGCTCTTCCTGAGAAAAGGGACAGCCCAAGGCCTGGAGTGGCTGAGGCAGGCCATACCTAGAGGCCTAGCAGATGCAGAGCCCTCAGATACATGCATCTGGAGGGACCAGGCCTTCCCTGAGAAAAGCCATTGCCTCTGCTCTTGGATGAGGGCTCCCTGGCTCCCCCTCCTCCCTCCAGGTTCAGCTTCAGAGTCCTTTGTTCTGGAAGCGGCTGCCTTCTGAATAGCATTTAATTCCGCTGAGTCTGGTCTTGGCGGCCCTTCCTCCCCAAGACACCTCCTAATTCTGGGGCTGAGCTTTTCCCTTGAAGTGGAGGAGCAAAGCCCTGAGCCAGAGCAAGGAGCAGCCCTCAAAGGGCAAACGGCCCAGAGAAGGGAAGGGAGCGGAGGGGAGGGGTGTCAGGACCCACTGGCCAGACTTCCAGGGCCACCCATTCCAAAGCTGCCTCCTGGGCTCTGCCTGAGAGCAGGCCCCCATGGGGCAACTGAGTTCTGAAGGGGAACCCCCACCCCCAGGGCCCATACAGCCCACTTCCTCTGGGAGCGGTCTGCATTGGAAGGGGATGGAGGGGAGTGGGCATCAGGGTGGGACTTTCCTACAAAGTTACCTTCCATCACCAGTCAAAACGCAACACAGCCTCATTTTTTTTTGTTTCAGGAGTGACTTGAGAAACTGCAAGTCGCTTCTGCTGTGAGAGAATTGGCTGTCTGCAAGGACGTTGCTCACGGGACACCCGGATGTTTTTGATGTTTTACCATCCTTGTGGGAGGCTTCTTTCATGTCCCTGCATGGGAAGCTGGAGCTGACAGAGGGGGCTCATCCACACTCTCCCCAGATTTGAAACCCCAGCCTGTCAGTCTTCAGTCCTGCCGGCACAAGGGTTTAACCCATTGCACCACCGGGCATAATTAACATTCCCAGAAAGCAAGGGAACTCTGGGCCTACCTCTGCCTTGGCTGCGTCCTGCAGCTGAATGGCTTCCTGCAGCTGAGGGCCGAGTCTGAAGAGGAAGTCCTCCACCTGCAACGCCACATGCCTATCTGGACCCATCTGAGACACTGGGAGAGGAGGCCTAGGAAGGAAAGGAGGTCCATTCAGAAAAGACTGCAAGGACGCCAAGGCAGGAGGGCTGGACGCTGGGCAGCAAGCGCTGGGTGGAAAAGGGGGAGAGCGGGTACAGCCCTAGGCAAAGGGTCCCTGCTTCAGGCAGACTGTCAGAGAAGCACGGCAAGGGCATGACATGGTGCAAGGCAGAAAGCACAAGAGGAGGACCCACGTACAGATCACTAGCATCCTGTGACGGACCTCCAAGGATAGACCTCCAAGGGACTCTGGCTCTAATGAAGGCCTCAGCAATGCCAGAAGCTTCCTCAGCTGCCCACTCTCACTGGAAAGCCCTTTGGGCCATAAAATACAGGGCTCACTTGGCAGGAGGAGGAGGAGGGGAGGAATCTGGAAGCTGTCCCGAACCCTTCCAAAAGGAAGCAGGGGGATGGATGGATGGAGATTCCCCCCCCCCCCACCCACACACTCACATAGCACCTCCTGGGGTCACAGTTCTGCATGGCCCCTTTCTCTCTCTCTCTTGTGCAGAAGCCCTGCTGCACAGATGCGCCTGCCTGCGGAGGAAGGCTGCTCTGCTTTGGGCATGGGGGACTCTCGCCCTCAGGCTAACCCTAAAGCCAGGATTAGCCTACTGATGGGCCCCCCAGGCAAAGGAGAGGGAGGCCCAGGTGAGGAGAAGGAGGAGGTGGAAAGTCAGAGCACAGAAAAATCCCTGGCTGGTGCTCACCTGAGGAAGGAGCCCAAGGCCTGAGAGGGAGCAGCAAGGACAGGATTTTGGTCACCTCCCTTTAAGGCCCTTGTGCCTCTTGTGGACCAGAGCTCCCCCGTGTCAAATTGGGACGTGCCCTCTAATAGCCAGTCACCCAAGTGCATGCCATTTTTAGGGCTGTGCCCAGCCAAAGCCATTTGCCCCACTGGTCCTAAGGAATGGAGCAAATGCTTTCCACTGAAAATATGCCAAGAAATTATTCTGCTCATATTGGGACACTGAAGAGATTTGCGAGAGGTCTTGAGGTGGGGCCTCCTAGGCTCTCTGTGTCCAGGGCAAAGGACTCCACAGCCTGCCCTGCTCTCCCCCCACCCACCCCACCCCACTGCTACTTCCACAAGCAGGGCCTGGGAGGGAGGGAGGAGGGCCAGCCCAAGGCTCAGAACAGGCAGAGACTGGCACTCATAAATTATGCACGTCATTTGCATATCCCAGTCATGAGACATTATGCAAATGGCATCCGATTAGCATAATGGATTCCACTCGCTGCTTCAGTAGCTCTGCGCTTTCAAAAAACAAAACGGAGGGAGGCGAAGGGCAGCTCCATCTGCCCACCAACCTGGGCTGCCTCCCCTTCGCCTCTTGGTCCAGGAAGGGACTCAAGGAGGAATGGGACCAGATCCCAAGTCTGGCACAGCACGCCCTGTGATTCTCCGTTTGGGATCCTTTAAGGGGAGAAGGCTGAGAGATGGGAGCCACGACCTGCACTGGGAGAAAGGAGATGGGTGGGTGGGTGGAGGGTCTGGCCATCCATCTCTTGCTGCCAAGGCCGAGTGGGAAGAGGGAAACCCATCCCTTCGCAACTGTTTTAATTAAACACAGCAAAGACACACGCAGGGGGAGGAGGAAATATAGAGTATGTGAGGCAAGGAACTAACAAGGCATGCTAATAAGGGGATGCTTCTTGCAGCCCCCTCCTTTTAAGGTGGGGAGTGCTCTGGAGGAGGGGCTGCTTGGATTATTTATCACAGCCTGCTCTGGCAACCTCTGGTGAGGAGGGATGTGAGGGGAGTCTTGCCATCCATCAGCCCCCAGAAGCCCCTCTCCTTCCTTCAGGGGATGCCTTGCACTGCCTTGGTTCAAATGCGGGGGCTTCCCCACCCCCACACCCTTTGAGGGCAAGACTATGCCAAGCGGCTGGCGGCACCTGCACCCTGTAGGAAAAGTTGGCTGTAATTCTTCAGCGTTTAAAATCAATTAATCCGCATGTTAATTAACGTCAGGCTGATGGGGGGAGGAGGAGGGGGAAGCCAGCAAATGAGGGAGGGGGAGGGAAGGAGGGGAGGGAGGAACAGAGCCGCAAGGGTGATGGAGGGATGGATGGATGGATGGCAGGCGCGCTGGCACCGTGCCATCCATTCAGGGGCAACGCCACCCTTCCGCGCGATAACAGCGGCGGGTATATATGTTCCGGGGCCCTGGAGGAGGGCGGCCAGTGCGAAGCTGCGGAGGCAGATGTGCAGGCGGCAAGCGGCACCAACCAGGGACCGGGTGCCAGGAGGAAGGTGAGCAAGGGCTCCTCGGGGGGCTCTGGGGGTCCCTTTCCACCAGGCAGGACGCCACCCAGACTTCTGCTACCAGTCCCTCGCTCAGCGCCATTCTGCCGCAGTGGAGCCGGTGCAAAGAAGACAAAGGCCGCCATCTCCGCCATGATGGCCCTCCCATGCCCCGACTGGCACCCAGAGTCTTCAAAGTATGAAGGCAGCACAAGGAGGAGGAAGAAAGGAGGGCACCAAGGGGCAAAGGAAAACAAAGCAATGCCCCCGCTGGACCGCTTGCCCCCTCGGCAACTGAGCATCTGCCGCAGTGGCAGCAGAAGGCACACTGGCGCACAGCTCTGCCAGGCGGCTTTGTTGATGGCGGCATCGCAAAGAGGACAGGAAGCTTCTGCCAAACTGGCATCACCCAACAGGGGCAACCCATTTGAGGAAGAGATGCCAGAACGAGGGGCACCTGGGAGACCCAAGTGAGCAATGCTACGCCTGCAGAATGAGCGAAAGAGCAGCTGGAAGGCGGCAAATGGCAAGCAGTGCGGGATGCTCAGATCCAGAGGGGAACATCCTGAACTGTTCCCCCAAAGGAAGCGAACAGCAGCTACATAGGAGGAAAGAGGCATCTGGAACCGGCGCATAAACATCCAGATCACTTGACACATTCCTGGCAGAGGTATCACGGGACTCCAGCTGTGCATGAACTCAGACGGCAGATGTGTGGGCAGACACATGCATGTGTCTCCCTATATGTTGATGGGAAAGTGCAAGGACACCAGGAAGGAGTGTGAGGGGGTGTGTTTGAGTTTGGAGGATGCCCGCCTGCCTGTCCCTCTGACCCAGTGAGACCACCCTCCATAGACCCTCCAGAATCAGCTTCAGGAGCAGCGATCCTTAGCCTGCCACAGCCTTGGAGACGAAGGGGGCTGATGGCAGGAGCCCTCCACCATCCCTGCAAAATCCACCGTGGAGTGTTTCTGTGTGTTGTGGGGAGGGGGGGGGGACTGGAGAGGGAGGGATGCCACTCAAACCTGCACCAATGTGCAAGAAGAGGAGGAGGAGGAGGAGACACGGGAGCACAGAGTGAGCGATGGAGTGGGAAGGGGCTCCCCGGGCGCCCAGGTGGCATGTGCCAGACAGGCCGGTGGCAGCCCCCTCCCCATTCCCTCTTTAGGCTGCCCCCTTCCTCCTTCTTTCCTTCCTACGAGAGGCTCAGCAGCAGACTTACTTACATGGGTGCTTGTGGTGCTGCTGCTGCTGTTGGAGACCCTGGGAGGTGTTCGGCTGGCATCGGGCTCGGAGCCAGGGACGGGCGCTGGAGACAAAAGGAAGACACAGAAACAAAGTCATGCCACGGGAATACCAATGGGCTACTCGCTTACGAGGAATTTACAAAACACGCCAACCGTGGAGTCGTTCCCCTCCTCATCCAAAAAGGAAACCCCCCACAAGGGGAAAACGGGGGACTGGCGCGCGTTTTTTCACACGGAAAATACTGGCATGGGATTTACTGCCGAGCGGCAGAGCTCAGGATTAGCAGCTGGCATCTTTGGGGCATCCGTTTTGTTCAAATGGACGAGCTTTTCCAGCTAATGAGGAATTATCGTTTTGCTAATGAGCCCTGAAATATCGAGGGGGAAGGTCTGTGTGCGGATTCTGCTAATCGCCCTGGCGCTGCGGCATGGCTGGATTACAAAGAAAGGAAGAGCAAGAGGGAGCCAGACAAAGCGAAAGAGAGCTGGGTGGGAGGGGGGGGCAGTTCAGAAGTGGGTGCTGGGGCCTCGGCCCTCCCTCTGGGTGAGGTGCCAACAGCATGGCCCCCCAAACTCCACACGGAAGACGCTCAAGGAAGACCGCCAGAGAGCAGGCACAACTGCTGCCTGAGCGCGTCTCCAGAGGTTAATCATCATGCAGGAGAAGGGCTTTATGCATATTTCATTTGCATATCATTAAGGCGTGTGAGACAAGGACGGTGAGCCAAGAGTGGCGCAATGCCGAGGGGCCGGGAGCCTCGTCTGGGGGCACTGCCAGGAGATGCCACAAGTGGGACCCCCATCGGCCCCTCTCTGCTTGGACCTCATGGGGATGGTGGGAGGTGCCCCTTCCTGCAGAGCCAAGGGCACTGCTCCCCATTAATGCTGGGAGGGAGCCGGGAACCTGTCACGAGGAATGCCACCCACTACGGCAGGATGGAAAGCGTGCTTCCTCATCTCCTCGGAAGGGGCCCTTAGGAAAGCATTGGCGAAGGAGGAGAGGAAGAGAGGCCAGGACATCCCATGCCTCTACCTGCCTCCTGCCCTCCTTAGCTGGCTCCTCTGTCCCCTGCTTCGGCTCCCCTTTCTTTGGGTTGCTCCTACTTGAGCAGTTCATCAAGCTGCCCTGGCCCTGGTCCTGAAAGGACAGCAGCTGTGCATTGTTTTATTTGGGGACGGGGTTGATCTCTGTGGCTTCTTTCTGCCATGTTCTCCCTCTGAGGTGCCTGCCCTCCTCCCTTGGCTCCAGCTCTTGGGCAACGGCAAACATTCGGCCAAGCTGAGGAAGTGATGGCGGAGGCTGCGCCGGAAGGAGCTGGCCTCTCCTCCCGTGGCGTGACTCTGCTGCTCTGTTGTGGCACACGCAGATGTCGCTGTTGTTCTTCAGGCTCATGGGCCCCATGTTCCGCAAAGGCAGAACAGGGGCACAAGGCTGTCTCGGGACGGGAGGGGAGGGGTCCCCACATTCGGAAGGTCCCTGCCATCGATGGATCGGCCCATCAACAAGACGGAGTGGGAGAAGACAAGCCCAGGCCTCCTGGAGCAGCCTCTGAATTGGGGAGAATTTTAATATGGGGGGGGGGGGGGTAGGAAGCATACTTTCAAGCCATGAGGAAAAGGGAAAAAAGAAAGACTGCTTGCACATTCCAACCCAAAGGGACACCTTTAGGGCAGTGTCCAATCCCTTCAAACACCAAAATAAGTGGGAAGTGCAGAGAACAATCCAGTGCTCTACCACAGACCTGAGCAGGTTGGGGGGGGGGCAGATCTCTTTGTTTTGGGGGGGCTCTCTGTTAGGGAAGCTCCGTCAGCCCCTGCCCACCCAGAGAGATATAGAGCGCTTATGGAGGAATAAGGTGCACTGAACGACAAACCCAATCATTCCCAAATGGATCTGTGTTGCCAAGCGAGGAGGAAGAGGAGTAGCCAGAGGTCTCCAAGGCCTACTCTGCTAGGAGGACCCTGCAGAGAACCCAACACAAACAGGCAGCACCAGGGAGGAAATGGACAGTCATCCTCAGGCTTCATCTCAACTCAAGGGATTATGAAAGGCAGGTCGGAGGTGGGCCTAAGGTTTGCTGGAAGGACCATCAGTTGGCTGGAGCCTAAGGGCTGGGACAGAGCAGGAAGCAGCGAGATCCAGATCAGGGCTAGCAAAGCTCAGTCCCTCACCCTCCCCTCCCAAAGCACTGAGGTCATTCCCATAGCCCATTCCAGTAGTCCTTTAGCTATATGCCAGAAATGGCATCATATTTGTGTCCAATAGCTACAGCCGGAATCCAACGCCAATCCATCAATAGTGCAGTGGTTCTCAACCTGGGGATCCCCAGATGTTTTTGGCCTTCAACTCCCAGAAATCCTAACAGCTGGTAAACTGGCTGGGATTTCTGGGAGTTGTAGGCCAAAAACATCCGGGGACCCCAGGTTGAGAACCACTGCTCTAATAGTATTGAATCATTGTGTGGATGTAGGGGGGGCTTCAGCCCCCCCCCATTCTCATGGTGCGCGAAAAGGCCTTATTGGTGCATTATTTAAACTGTTATGTTTATTCATATCATGATCTGATCACCATACTCAATATATCCCATATGCATGGGGGTATTGGGGTAACGATCCAAAGGTTTGCTAGGCTAGACCCTCTTTCACTGACTCAGCCCCCTGAAACAAAATCAGCCCCCCCTCCCCCGAATCGAAATCCTGGCTATGGGCTTGACTGGTCTAGTGTGTCTATTTTTCCATAGCTATTGAGTGGGGGGGGGGGGGGGTGAAGGGAGGCTCTCCCACCCCCTCCTTTTAGATTTGACTTTGTTATGGTAAAGGTAAAAGTTTCCCCTTGACATTAAGTCTATTCATATCCGACTCTGGGGGTTGATGCTCATCTCCATTTCTATGCTGAAGAGCTGGCATTGTCCGTAGATACCTCCAAGGTCACATGGCCGGCATGACTACATGGAGTGCTGTTCCCTTCCTGCCAGAGCGGTACTTTTTGATCTACTCATATTTGCGTGTTTTCAAATTGCTAGGTTGGCAGAAGCTGGGGCTAACAGAGGGAGCTCACCCCATGCTCTGGATTCGAATTGCCAGCCTTTTGGTCAGCAAGTTCAGCAGCTCAGCAGTTTAACCTGCTGCACCATAATTGACTTTGTAATTCTTTGACTTTGTTATCTCCCTTCAAATGGGACTGATTCCTGCTCTTTTTCTCTACACCTCTGTTATAACCAAAACCAATAGAGTCACGCCATTAAATAAAAAGGTGGTGGGGAGATAGGAAAGATGCGAAGGTGGGGCTGAAGGACCTGGGCACTCTTGACCCTGGTGCCCTGGCAGGTGGGGCTCCATCAGGGGCGACTTCCTGACCACATTTGGAATGCAGGCGCTGCCCTGGATCATGATCCAGCAGCATGCCTCTACAGCAGAGATATTTGGCCCTGCCGTTCGGGGGGCTGTGCATCCCCCCTTCCAATCCCCACTTTCTGCCTATGAGCCCCTATGGGGAAAGAGGCACAGGTCCATCACTTCCCTTTCACCACCACCCCCCCCCCCCCAAATCTGGACCAGTGTGAGGTCAGCAGAGCCACGTCGCTGCCGCTCTTTCCCCCCTTTTGAAGCGATGAGCTATTTACTCCCTAACAATTCTACTTGAGAGCTGGTTTAGCATTTTTATTGGAATGTGAAAGCTCTTAAAAGAAGGGAGGAAAAAAATCTAATCAGGCAGAAGAGATAGAAAACTTGCTGAATTTCTGCCCCCCCCCCCGCGAGTCCCCCCCCTCCCCTCAATCCTATCAAAAGCACATCTTCCATTCATTGCTTCCCGATGTCATTATGACAAGCGGCTGCAAATCAATAGCAGAGGGAGGCAGGGCCAGCCAGCCGGCATCCGCCAGTGATCAAGGCCCCCTCCCCTCGGCCCACGGATGGGCTCTGCTAATAGCACATAATAGCCGCCATCGGTGCCCCCACATTAAATCATACATTTCGCTTGGCGTTTATTATGGGATTTTTAAAACTCCTCACCAAATTGGATTTTCTCGATGGTCTCCAATTTCAACATTTGTCATTTAAAATTAAACTCCTCTGTGGGGGCGAGGGATGGAAATGGGAGCCGGGGAGCGGGCAGGACAGAGAAGGAGAAGAGCTGCTGGGGCAGAATTCTGCACCTCTTTTGAAAATGAAAACCCATAAATAGGATCTAAACATCACAAGCTCTAAAACTGTACATGCATCAGACATGCAAGAGGCTGCTCCAGAATTGTTTGGAGAGGTTTGCCAGGAACCCGGCTGGTTCTGGGAGGCAAGAAGGGGGTGCTTTGGCAGAGAGTCTCTCCATCCCAGAGCCCTAGGAAGAAGCATGAGCCTTGCATAGAGAAGAAGCGGGCGGAGGGAGAGGGACCAAAGGTGCCCCACACCTAAGGCCCAGAGGGCTTTTATAATAATAATAATAATAATAATAATAACAACAACAACAACAACTCTGGCACAAGCCGGTCAAGGTGGTCCCAGTGTTGATCGCCACACTGGGTGCAGTGCCTAAAGACCTTGGCCTGCACTTAAACACAATCTGTGCTGACAAAATTACCATCTACCAGCCGCAGAAGGCCACCTTACTGGGATCTGTACGCATTATTCACCAATAATCACACAGTCCTAGACACTTGGGAAGTGTCCGACATGTGATCCAATTCAACAGCTAGCAGAGTGTCTGATGTGGATTCATCTTGTTGTGTTTCTAATAATAATAATAATAATAATAATAATAATAATAATAATAATAATAGCAAAGACTGGCACAAGCCAGTCAAGCTGGTTCCAGTGTTGATCAGCACACTGGGTGCAGTGCCTAAAGACCTTAGCCTGCACTTAAACACAATCTGTGCTGACAAAATTGCCATTTGTCAGCTCTTTTATGATCTGCAAGCATTATTCTCCGATACATCACACAGTCCTAGACACTTGGGAAGTGTCCGATGTGTGATCAAATACAAAAGCCAGCATATTGATCTTGTTTGCTGTGTACTAATCTTGTTGTGCTTCAAATAAAAACAACAATAATAATAACAATTTAATTTTTACATAGGGACTCAGGGCGGTTTACAAGTCCAATCAACATAGTTAAAAGGTATGACATTAAAATACCCAATAACAGCGTAAAACAGAATAAAACAGCAACATTACAACAAATTATAAAAACAAGCATCGAACCAACCAATGAACTATAATAATCAGTTTCAGTGCAAAAACAATTGTGAAGATAGGGCTGGTGGATAAAGTGTGTAGGTCATATGGTAGCAGTAGACACAGAGGGCAATGCAAATGGAGCATTATAGCTTTGGGTACAGAACAATAGTTTTTGTTTGTTTGTTTTTTTGTTGTGTCAGGAGCGACTTGAGAAACTGCAAGTCGCTTCTGGTGTGAGAGAATTGGTCATCTGCAAGGATGTTGCCCAGGGGATGCCCGGATGTTTTTGATGTGTTACCATCCTTGTGGGAGGCTTCTCTCATGTCCCCATATGGGGAGCTAGAGCTGATAGAGGGAGCTCATCCACGCTCTCCCGAATCTGTGACCTGTTGGTCTTCAGTCCTGCCAGCACAAGGGTTTAACCCACTGCGCCACTGGGGGCTCCAAAACAATAG